CTGTCCGTTACGTCTGTATCCTCGCCGAACGGCGTGATACAGCGCTGTTACCACACGACGAAAAAGAGGTTTCTCCGTGAGTTCCAGTTTGGCGTTCGACGATCGGAGTGCATCGCATGTTCCTGAAGCAGCAACAGCTCGCTACGCTAGAAGGTTGTATATCTAATGTATATGTGTATATCGGCTTTGTTCCGTGCCTAGGCCGGGCTCAGCACCCTTGCACTGTCATGCTGGCAAACAAGCCTCTTTGCACAAGCGGCATTCTGCCTCTGCATGTCGAGTTTACATCGCAGTTTCACTATGCCAACTTGAGGTCAGAGCTTCACGATCGACACATTTACGCCACACCCTTACCTTGTCAAGCATATTCCCACAGTTCGCAGGTTCCGCATGAGTTCTTTTGCCATACCAGTTCGCCGGCTTGCAGGCCGGGCTTCATTGGATTGCCGAAAGGAACTGGCTGTGAGGGAAACAATGGCAACGTCCTACAGCCAATGCCTCGGCTTTCTTATGGCCCAGAGCCCAGCGTGCACGGCTCAACGTTTGAATTCGAGGGTGACCGTGCCCTTCATGCGGGAGCTTCGGCGGCGGACTCAAACCGATCTCGCAAAATGAACTCGCACCACGAGTCTCGTTGCCATTTTTGATGCCATGCCAAGGAACGAGACCTACTACATGTTCAGAGCTTTGGTGGTGAACCCCCGCGAGACCTTCTTGAACGTCGATTCACCAGCACCTCAGCTGAATGGCATTCAATAGCTTTTGCTTGCCTTTTGTGTTTTCGTTGTGTGTGTCTCTGAACTCCTGTGTGCGCGAGCACAGTTGGTTAACAAGGGTCCCCAGGTTTGCGTGGCTGTGTGTGTGTGTGCATGCACGGCAAACCCTGTGGGATCCTGACCTTGTTTCCCTTATCTCTCTCTCTCTCTCTCTCTCTGAGTCTCTTTCTCTTTCTCTCGCCCTTCCTCTCTGAGAGTCCGTTTGTGCACTTTCGGGTGTTCCCGTCCGCTCAGGAGAAGTATTGGCGCATTGAGTCACGAGCCGGAGGCCAGGATCTCGTCGACCTGAACCGGGTAATCCCCTCCTTTGCGATCTACCCGCGATTGCCGCGTCCTCAGCCTTGCTCCGGATATCTCCGGATGCTCCCAGCCAGGCCAAGGCCCGTATTGCATTGGGCCACTACTCTCGCATCGTTCTTCAACGATCCGTACTGTTATGAGTGAAGCTGGTGCAGGCAGCGGAAAGTTGCCGCGAGTGCCTGACATCCATGTTTAAGTGACCGGTTCGGTCTAACAACGACGAAGCCACGAGCCGGTCAAGCCAGACTACCGAAATCTCCTTGAGCCAGGAGCACCTTGTGTTTGTTATCCTCCTAACTGGTGTGGTCTGTCCTACTTTTCGGGCTGACGTGATGGCACATGTTTGAGGCGATACTTCGCGGTGGCTGCCTTGTCGCAGGCCACGAACCGAACAGGCTGGGCGCGAAGTGGGGACGGGTCTTCTCCGCCAGGTGGGCCTCGCATCTACGACCTACCGGATCCACTTCCGAACGGCACGGGCCACAAGGGGACGGCAGAAGGTGAAGAGGGGTGTTGACCCAGATGCTTTTCACGCTTGAGGACCAATCGTTGCCACCACAGCCGCAGCCTCAGCTCAATTTTCAACAGGACCGGCCTGCCTTGCTCCACATGAAAGGCAGACCGTGCATATCCACCCACCCACGGGGACGACTTTCGGTGGTCTTACCGATGGCACATGCATTGACACTGCAAGGGCCCCGACTGCAGTCAAGTTCAAAACCGAGCCATGTTCAATTGAGAGGATCCCGTGCTGCTCAGCCTTCAATTCCCGACTCCGCTGATTTCGCGAGTGCTGCTCTCGGGACCCGCTGCGATGAAGTGTGTGTGCTAACACCCCAAATATCATTCTACTGTTGTGCCCCGCGTCAAGGTAACTCGCTTGCCCGAGTGGGTTTCCTGCCGGGTAGTGAGCTCGACAGAGCCAGACCCCTGAGCCTTTAAGCTTCCACACCACTGAATCCATTGAAACCCGCTCAGGCTGATGCTGCGCAACGAAGAGCCCATCTTGGGCGGTCGCCCGCTGATCTCAGGCCCCTGCCTTATCATCAGGACGGTTGATGACATCTCTGAGCACTTGCCGCTGTCGTGCTCCAACCAGGTCCTGTCTTCGAGTTTTTCGTCATGAATGCGACAAATGCGGAGAGCACGCCACAGCTCAATCTGTTCCAGATCGAAGTCACCTGGCCCAAAATATCAACTCTAGAGTCTATAGAGATTGCGACTTGCGCCGATCGCAAAGACCTGCCGTGTGCACTGCAGATTGCACTGCCGGACACAGGCCATCACAAGCACGGCGATGGGGAAGGAGGTCTCCTGCTCGGTATGAGCGGGAACTCTGGGTCTGCGCCACCGGCGTGGCACGAGGTTTGGACAGCACCGGGCTGGGTGATCTACCCGGAACTTACCATGACATCAGTGGAGACGGCCAATCCTGGCTACGGACTGCACGGACCACAGACATCAGCAGATGGAAAGTGGTACTAGAGCTCCTCTGTTAGTACAGGTACACGAACTTCACCCTTACGCTTCAAACTGTTACAGAGGCTGAGTGCAAGAATGACGGGAGCGGGATAGCACAAGTTTGGCTGGATCTACATGGTCCGGCTCTGCCGCAAGGTGCCATCCGGTGGCTCGATTCGAATCATTGCGCCCGACGACTATTACTTTGGGCCGCTGATTGAAACAGCAGATACCCGTCTGGGCCTTAGTGCGAACTCTGTTCTGCTTTCACCGGCTCTGTTCAGCTTCAGGGCTCCGTCGCCGATATTCAGTGCATGGTAGTCGTATTGCTCTTCTGTCACACCATAGTCTTGCAAGTGTCCTCAAGTGATTGGCCGGCTCGTCACATGTTCCGAACCTGCGAAGCAGAAGAGCCGAGCATGGGGTTGGATCCCTGCGCAGTTGCCTCTCAATAGAAGTCATTTTCCAGGCACATAGGCAGTGGATGTTGCACAGTTTGCTTAGTCTGGAAGCCGTGGAAGCTATAGTAGATGTTGCTAGGTTGCTTGAAGAGTGCGTGAGACGCTGTGCAGGGCCAGGAAAGGGGTTATTGACTCCCAGAAAGCTAGATTCCCCCCACCGACAGGGCCCACCTTGCGGCCATTCCGATCGCTCGCTGAAAGAGTCAGCTCGGTTCCCTGCTGTAGTCAAGGGAAGGGGACTCGGTGCAGCAGGCTAGAGAGCCTGCTGTTTTCTGTCGAAAGGAAAATGCTGAAGCAAATTGCAGTGCTATCTGCGGACCACATAATTCCAGGTCCAAGTTTCCCAGATGCTTGAGATGTAGTAGGGAGGAAGCGAAAGCGACGTGACGTGGGCAAATCGCAAAGATCTCGCGACATTGGATTCCCCGGAAGCCCAAGGCCACAGTCAAGGCCTCGCACGTGCAGCGAGCAGAGACGAACGAGAGCGGGGAGGGGGCCGGGGGAGAGAAGGTGTCACGTCGTGACAATGCTGACGCAAGCCAGGGAGGGAAGCAGACCAAGGAGGGCCATGAAGGCTGTTTCGGGGTCGAAACCAAGGTGCCGTGGGCCGTGCTGCCAAGTTCCAACATGTTTCATGGGGCAACTTACGAATGAGTAACACGCATCGCGTTCGGGGGTCACGGCAACGATAAGGGGATTTATGTAGGTTCCAGTCCAGCCAGCAGAGTGAAATATTGAACGGGTTCTCACATATGCACGTTTACTGCTGAGATGCACAGGATACGATCCACTGGAGTCCGAACCAGCACCACAAGGGGCCGGACAGGAGAGCTTTGTCAGCACGTCACTTTGCACCGTAGCACTGCAAGGGTTTGCGGCAACGGCTTGCGACTTCGCAGGAGCGCCCTCCAGCACAAAGAGCCCGCACCCAAGAACAAAAAAGGTGTAGGCCGTGTAGGATAGTGGAGATGACCGGTGGAGCCTGACGGAAAGGTCACGATTTGCCACATCCTCCGAACCGTGGCCTGGACAGGGCCACAGACATGTGGAAGTGCCAAGTGCCCCACCATCGCAGCAGTGATCCACAACTCGCCTTGAGGGCATGCGCGCTGGAGTTCACGCCTTGCGTCATCATGGACGAACTGGACGAGCTGAGAACGCTTGGCGAGCCGTCTCAGATTTCCAGCCGCTGGCACAGGGGCTTGAAGCTGCGACGGTCCGCCCCGATCCAAGGCATGGTTCTGTCACCCTCGCAAGAGGATGCCTGGCGGACGAATCGGACTCTGTGCTTGGATATGAGGCCATCCTTCATGCAAGCGCAACTCCACTTTAAGTGTGTCTCTGCAGCGAGTGAGGTCGAAATGTGACCCCGGAGGAAGGCTTTCAGACCTCATCTCCTGTGAAAGCCAGGCAGGCACACTCTGCAACATTCGCGCACATGTCTCCGGTCCGTCGTCGCAGGGCAGCACCTTGGATCTCTACGTGGCACCACAAGTCTTCTTGCCGTCTCGGCGGATCTTTCGTTTTTTGATCCAAGGCGAGGTCCGGGTCTCAGGTGACACACTCTTGAAGCGTCATGTGCTTTCTCTCCAGGTTACAATGCGCGAAATCCTCCTACAAGTGCTGCTGCGAATTCGTCGCGATCCTTAGATGCCAAGCAACAAGACATAGAGGGTCCGTAGTTCCTCTTGCGGTGGTGCAAATTCCGAATCCAAGCGTTGAGGTGGCATTTCATGACGCGGAACTCAGACAGACCCGGCCTCAGACCACAAAGGCGAAGGGGCAAAGCTGACTGTAAGGTTGAATCATTGTTGAGTCTTCAAGGTGAGAAGACGATCTTGGATGAGAAGCCACAGGTGTTTCAACCTCAGTGCCTTCTTCCGCCAGAGAATGCCTCAGCTGAGCCGCTCTCATGCGAGGCCTGGAGTGTCACTCATCGGAATCGTATCCGTGGATTCCATTGTGCCATCAAACACGAAGGCCAGCAGCTGGTGACCGTGTGAACATCTCCGACGGTACAATGGCTTGAGGTAAGTAGCATTGAGAACTACGTGACCGTGACATTGCGGTTGGCTACGCAGTGCGACGGCCAAGCTAGCAGTGCTCGGAACATTCCGAGCTGACAGTATGTGTTGGGCTCCGAGCTGCAAGGCGCGCAATGGTGACCAGCTGGACGAAGTCATAACCACAGAAAGACAACTTCACACGACAGAGCTTAGCCATGACTGTAATGATCACTGCAAAATGTCGTCTCTACAGCTCTAGGGATATCATTGCTTTATTGACTGCCGTTGAAGCTCATGGCACTTGCGACAGAAGAGCAAGAAAAGCAGAAGGCTCAGCACGTCTGCCGCTGACAGATCATCCTTCTCGTGATGTGGCGAGCTTAAATGGGACGGACCAAGGCTGGCTGAAGTCCAGGAGTGGGCCTGTGGCATTTTCGCCGCCCCGGGGAAGGCACGGAAGGTTGCACGCCGCCAAGCTGAGGCAGCTGCTGCGCCTCGTATTGACTCCAGATCTTTGTGGCCCAAAGGGAACTGCCCATGCTGGAGAAGGCATGATCGCGAGACATGTACGGTGCGCTTGAGGCCGTACTTGGAGGTGGAGTTGGTGGAGGGTTTACGTGGCCAGATTCTGACCAAGCAACAGCTGCGCCTCTTTGCTTCATTGACTTCACATTGACTTCACCCACATTCTTGGATGGATTGGTGTCCTGAGTGGGAACCGTCAGGTTGGCATTGCAACTGGATTCCGGCCCTGTCAAGCGTCGAGCCACCCACATGCTCCGGTCCGGTGCTACCTACCTGCAGAGCGATTTAGACTGTCGTACTCGGCCATGTTCTGTGTGCAGCAGGTTCATCAACGCATTCTCCAGCAGATAGCACGAGTTGTAGGAAAATTTTGTCTCTCAGCTCGGAGTCGCTGACTGGCTGAGCTCTGCATGAGCTATGAAAGACTCTCCTCGCATCCTTGACAATCTTTCAGCCCGGCCAATCTGACAAAACTTCTGCTTTTGCAAACAGCTGAAGATTGACATCCAGAACCGTTGCAACGTCCACTGCTCGCATGCGCAAGTTCGGAGCCTGGAGAAGCCCATAGGAAAATTAGGAAACCGAAAGAAACCTGAAGACGAGATCGGGCAACTCATCGAAATCCCGTGCAAAAGGTGCCGAACCATCCTGTGCCGATTAATGCGACAGGGGAGGGTTCACACGGCGTGTTCAGACCCGAAGCGACAGGCGGCAGAATGTAGGTTGCACAGAGTGCATTTGGGCACCAGCTAACGGAGGTGGAGCGGGGGTTTCCCCCCCCCCTCCTCCCCCCCACTCGAGCTGCTTAAGCAGTCAGTGCAACCAACAGACAGCAGACCCGCAATCATTCGGCAAAGTAGCCGCAGCGCACATCTGCAGAACTGGAGACAGCAGCATTTCCCAAGACGGTTTCACGTTCACGGCAGGCATCTTTCGATTCGCTTCTGAAACGTGATGGGATAGCCGTTTGCCTAGCAGTTTGCAACACAGAATGCCAGTTGCACTGTATTCTTCACATTCGCTGACCGGCATCAGCTCGTACTCGCAATGCACTGTTGCTTCCTCCGTCCCCTAGCCTGGGTCCACTCCGTTCTCAACTTGAGACACAGGTTTGTCAAGCACTTTCCTGGGCAGATGCCGGAGGCCCCGGATCAGCCAGGCAGGATTCTCAGAGCTCAGATGACCACATCCCCGGCCTCGTTTGTACCGTAGGCTCATCTTGAGGATACACAGCTCCTCACCAGGTGCTCGGACCGCCTCAGCAACTTGGCCGTGGCGCTGCACTCTCCGACCTCGTCCATCCGCATCCTGTGCGCAGCATCACGAGCAAGTGCCGGTCTTTGGCACAGTCTGAGAAATGGCATACTCTCCAGACAGGCTGTGCCTTAAATTAAATAAATGCAGATGCCAAGATTGTTTTGGCCAGCTTTTCCTGGATATGACCGTGACAGCTGAGGCTCTTTGTGCGAGCGAGGAAGAGCTTCTGGCATACGGCAGAAGTGCAGAGCGACGCATGTCGGATAGAGACAAACTTGCGTGGCAACAGTGGAAAGTATCCAGACCAGATGAGGCTTCAGACGTTTCTAGCAGTGCTTGGACTTTGCCAGACTCGGGAGGGCAGAAAGAAATCTCGGAATTTCAAGAGCCAGCGAAGATGACATCGCTGCGTCCCTATCAGTCCGAGGCTGTTGCTGCGGTTCAGACCGCGTCGCCGTCGAACTGCTGTGTTGTATTGCCCTGTGGTGCTGGCAAGACCCGGGTCGGGGCAGCTATCACAGCACAGTTTTTGAATGAACATCCGAAAAGCTGTGTTGTTGTCCTGTGCCTCCGTCGTGAAGGTATCCGGCAATGGTGCCGTGAATTGCTGCAGAACTGGGACTTAGGGGCTCTTGAGGTTGGTCAAGCCGGCGCCCATGCACTGCGAACCTGCAGGATACTGCTGGTAACGTACCATCGTATGTTGTCTGAAAAGAGGCGTTCTCAGACCCCAAAGTCTTTGAACTGGGAAGATGATGGCATCGGTGAAGGAGGCGCTCTTGATGAAGACGCGGGGGGGGCAGTCGCTGCCCGCTTTCGCTCTTCATCCGAAGCACTCCTGATTGCCGATGAGTGCCACATGGTACCGGCACCAAAGATCTGCGAGCTCTTGGAGACATTACTAGAAAACAAGAAGGGCCGCAGGCTTGTTGGGCTGACAGCAACGCTTCTACGCGAGGGCGGCGCGGGCGGCGCGGGCGTGAAAGGTGCGCCTGAAGGTGATGTTCCCTGGCCATTGCTTGGCACCTGCGTGTTCCGCGAAACCTTCACAAACCTGGCCCCCGAGTATCTCGCCCCGGTTCGATGCCTCGAGATTTCCGTACCAGTGGCCGGGGAATGGCGCAAAATGTTCAAGAGGCAGCCACTTGCAGCAGCTGTTTGCTTGTCCTACCAGAAGTGGGTTGTCCTAGAACACCTGCTTGCCAAGCATGCCGGCGAATCCATGTTGATCACAGTCGAGCGCTGTGAACAAGCCCGGCTGCTGGCCGCGATGTTTGGCATCATACCACTTGACGGCTCTGTTCCGGCTTCGCAAATGAAGGACTACCTTGAACGCTTCCGGCAGCGAAAAATACTGGCACTGGTTGCCACACATGTTCTGGATGACAGCGCCGACTTCCCCGAGCTGTCTGAGCTTTGGCACTGATTGCTGAAGTAGAAGCATCGGGCGAGTCACAAGTAACCCACTCTCCTTCCCCCACCTCCCCTCAGATATAAGCGCTCCAGGTGATGATACAGATGGGCGGCCATTTCGCAAGCCGCAGGCAGGAGCAGCAGAGGTTGGGGAGACTTCTCAGATGGGGCCCCATCAAGCGGCAGCGCTGGGAAGCCACCGGAGCAGCTCGGCAAGTCAAAGACGTTGCATCTTTCAGCTTTCAGATCCTGGACTCCGATTTCCTTCCCAGCGGTGCAGGTTGTTCTCATAATGTGCTTGCGTCATATTCTCGCGATCGTGTTTGCAGTATTTGAACCACTCAAACTCGGATGCTTCAAGGCACCTGGAATAAAGCTACTAGCAGACAAGTATACCTCAGCTTCTCATGCCGCGCTGCTTGGTGGAGCTCCTTTAAGCATGCTGGACGATCTTGCGACGATGTTTAACCTTGTTTCTCAAACGCAACAGACGTCGTCCGCCATGCCTGCTTTGCGAGTGTGTGAGTCGAAACGCAACTCGAGCATAGTCTTCGCTGATGCTCCCGGTGTTGATCCCGTCTTAAGGGTACTGACATCAGGCCGGCGAAAAGTGTCGTTTGGGGACGCTACTATATCCAGCCCAGCATGCAGGGGGTATGTTGCAATGCAGGCTTTGCTTCCGCTTACTTGCCCCGTAAAGCCTGACATAGCCTGACAACAACCAAACGAGCTCATTCTGGTTGCGATGCTGCGCTCATTGACACGTGCTGCATGCAAGCTGAGGCACGGCCTACATTCTATGACTGGAGCTCAGTATTCCTATAGCAGCTCACATAAAAGTAGGAAGGAAGCAAGACTGTCAAATGCAAGTGGCCTTGACTGGATTGAGGTACTGGTGCATCAAGGCACCATAGAAGAGAAGATGAGTCGACATCGCACAAAGTCCGTCCTAGGAGTTCAATACGAATGTGTGGACGCTTCCTCCGTGACATCTAGCCCAGAGTCATGCTTGGGTGGAGGAAGTGACTTTTTACATCCCGGGCTCACTGGCGAGAAGGGGAATGACTTTGAAAAGAAGCATTTGGAAGTCATGGTGAAAAACTACAGGAGTTGCCTGGAACTCTCGCAACATGTAGCAGCCAGCCTTCCACAGCGAACAGGTTGCCAGGGCACCCGAGAGTCTCGTCTCGCGGAGATCCGTCGATGGCTCAACGGCGAGTCCTTGGAGAATGGCATGCAGGTGCGGCAGCGCGCGGGCTCGCTTCACACACTCCTGAAACTATTTCCTCAGCGAACCTTCGAAGTGCGAAACTGCTTGCAGAGACCCTAGTGAGCACATGCTCTGCTGACTTCTAACGAGCTTTTTGTCCCTACCCAGACAGGCCTCTCCCTCGACAGCATCTTCAAAGTCGTCATCGTCAGACGGATCATCAGACTCATCAGGCAATAGCTCGGACAGCTCATCCCTGTCTACAGATTCCTCGAAGCGGTCTGAAGCAAATGCTGCAACGAAAGAGCTGGCTCCAAGCAAGGCCGGAAGGAAGCGCAAAGCTTCCAACATCAAGGAATCAGCACACAGCAAAAGAGATGGCCGGGACGGTCGTGGTCGCGGTCGCCGTGCTCCCGGCTCCAAGGGTGGAGGGAGAAGGACCCTCAATAGCCTCTCAGTTACTTTGCGCCCCGGGATCGAAGGGATGCAGAGCGAGATAGACCTTACATTTGCAGCAGCCACAGAGGAGAAACAACCAGAAGACAGCAAGATCTTTACGCAAATCCAAAAATCCGATCACTCGCCCCTTGCGATTGATTTGGAGTAGCCTGGAATTCCAGTGGCTGCATGATGCGGAGCAGATGCTGCGGCATTTGCGACTGGTTGCGCTGCCGTCATACCTGTACATAGTTGTCAAGCAGCTAGCGTAGTCTGCACGTGACATGCCCAAGTGCCGAAAGACAGGCAAGCGGCTTTCTGCAGGCTTGTTGAAAGGGCACATTTCCGCGGCAGGCGGCACAAGGTGTTAGCTTTCTCTGTAGACAGCCCGAGGTGTGACCCTCGAGCCATTCTGCGCATCAAGTTCCCTGTGGAATACATGCGAGGCAGGGGGTACAAGCTACAAGCCTGGTCTACGTGGCACATGGGCTGCCTGATGTCGGTGGCAGGAGAGAATGCGGCCTTCTCCGGCCCTGCAATACAGCCAGGGCACCGGTTAGTGTCATCAGTCATGAGAAGCGCTGGGTTGTGCGACTCCCACTTCTGTTCCTCGCAAGCACAAACCAAGGACTGGATTTACGTTTCCTCAGCAGGCAGGCAGTTCGGGACCGGCATGTCCGCGGGCCCTGCGCAGAGAAGATTTGATCGAGTCTTCACCCGAGATGAATTTCCCAGCGGGTAGATTGAGAGAAGAGAGAGCCAGAGGCTCGCAGAAAAAGACTGAGCGAGCGGCAGAAGATCGAGGAGAAGAGTGCATACCAGTTGAACACAGCCGATCTGCCTCAGATTGCCACCAGAGCCAGAGGAAGGGTGGCCACGACCCAAGGAAAAGCGCCCCAGCATGCCGCAGCTGCAAGGAGGAAGGCGGAACAGTGACCACTGTGACCGCTTGAGAAATGCAACAAGGAATTGGATGCCGTGTGTCAGGGCGGGGACGTGGTCCAAGCAGACGCCCGACGGAACCTTGCGAGTCATAATCACGTTAAAGTATGTTAAAGTGGCTGCAGACCGCTGCCCGACAGTGGTGGACAGCCAGCACTATGAACGGAAACCGCGCGTGCAGAAGCGAAAGCGGCGACTTCGCTCCACGGGCATCAGGGAACGCCACGACCTGAGGAAGTGGCCGAGGAGGTGGTTTGAGGACGAGGCGGTGCCTCCCAACATGCGCAGGTGCACGGTCCACGTGCTATTGTGGGCGCATGCAGGCGCAGAGGAAAAGTTAGTTCAGTGCCATGCATCTGAGAGCATGAGAGAAGTGGGGTTGTTTATTGTCCAAAGGAGCCCTGATCATAGTTTAGCTAGAGTGTAAGCAGATACCTGAAAAAGCAGCCGCCGGCTGAAGGCCTTTGCTCATCCGGCTGAATATGGACTTCAATAGCGCATGCCAGCTGTAGACTGGTCAGACTCCACGAGAGAAACCTGTAGGGAGGGGAATGAATGATGTTCTCACAAGCAATGACCAAGGTATGCTGACCTCGGAAATGTTTGTGGTTTCTGTTTCTCTCAATTCAAGCAGGTTGAACGGCGCCAGAGCTTGAATACGATTGAGCGTTGGCCCAAGCGACATGGGAGCTGTCTCCATGGACTGCACATGCTCTGTCATCTTCAATCGGCTCAAATGGCAGGCGGGGTGGATGGCAAAACAACTTGGCTCAAGTCGCCCTAAGTTCCAAGTAGTTGAAAGCAAGGGACCGGTCTCGGCAGCATGTCTGCACCATGGCATCACCATGGCAAAGAGTCAGCAACTTGCACCACCTGGGTCAGGCAACCTCCCTCTCGGGTACCGCACGGCTAACAGTCGGAATCCTCAGCGCTGCCAACGGTTGAAACACACTACCTCACGGATCGACAAATGGCGACGGGCAGTCTTGCAGCTTGATGGCGCATGGATACCATCATCTCTTCGGCAGGGATTTGGGAAGCTTGCACATGCCAAGCAGTGGCTGCAAGCGATTCTCCTGCTGTGTGGAGCTTCTGAAGCCAGTCTGCGCGTTGATGAAGCTGCATACAACTCCGTTGCGAGCGCATGCAACGGTGCACGCAGCCTGTCCATGGCATGGCGTGTTGCACTGAAGAATTTGATCCTTGTCAGGAAAGTTGGAATGAAAGCTGACAAGTTCTCGCATGGAATAGCTGCTGTTGCGTGTTCTGGGATGTCATTCTGGAGTCGGTCATGTCTGCTGCTGACTGATGCCAGAAGGGCATCTGTTCGTTTGGGCGCGATTGCTTGGAGTAGTGTCCTGGACGCAAACAGCAAAGCCGGCCGGTGGAAGAAGACACAGGCGCTGCTTCAAGAGATGCAGAACGGAAGTGAAGCTCCTGACACACAGTGCATCAACGTGCAGATGAGCGCCATCAGCCGAGCAGCGGAGGCGCAGAAATTGTGGCAAGTGAGTCTGGAGGTTCTGAAAACTGCCGCAGCTTCTATTGGAGTCGACGAGGTGTCCTTCAACACTGCACTGATGCTGTTAGACTCGTCCGGCTCTGTTGATGACAAAGTTTGGTTCTTGATTTCCGCGATGCGAAAGGCGAGCATTCGTCCTTCACAGGTAACATACGGCACAGCGTCCAGAGTATTTGGCATGTCCAGCCTGTGGAGCTCTTCACTGGAAGCCCTTCGCAATGGCTCTTGCATAGGGGTGGTCCCCAACATCGTGGCATGTGGTTCCACTCTGGATGCATGCCAACGATGTGCCGCTTGGTCCATGGCATGTATGCTTTTGAAGGACATAAGCACGGCTCAGCTGCAAGCAAACGCTCCGGCCTGTGGAGCTGTGATCACTGCTGCCGGAAACAGTCACCAGTGGAGCCATACCCTTGCCATGCTGAGCCACGTGGAAACGATGTACATTGCAATCACGGCTCCGATCATTGGAGCGGTAATGTCAGCATGCCAGGGAGCTGCAGACGTGATGACTTTGAACCCGGACGCCAACATCAGAACCCTGTGGCAGCAGGTGCTGGGATCTTTCCGTCTGTGGGCTTCTGGCAGACCGGATCTGCCCATGATTGGGAGCGCAGTCAGTGCATGCAGCAGGGGGGATAGGTGGGAGCAGGCTCTCGAATTGCTCACTTTCTCCGCGGTCTGGAGAGTTCAGCCTAGTCTCGTAGTAGTCAACTCCGCACTGGACGGGATGGACCGAGCCGGGCACTGGGCTCAGGCAGCCAACCTTCTGTTTGGCCTCTCTCCGGCGACCGTCAGCCTTGATTCCCTGGGTCTCCGAAGCATGATGCAGGCGGTAGAGGCTAGTGGCATCACTGGACAGACCCTAGGACAAATTCAGAAATGTTGTTGTACCGATGCCCAGCATATGTCGGCATATGCTGCGTCACGAGACCCACTGAACCCCAGTGCGAGCCCCAAGGATGCCGGCGTTGCTGGCCAAGACTGAGCTTTGGATTCAGTCTGCCGCCACCACTCTGAAGCCCAGCATGGACCAGAAAGCTGACGTAGGCTTCCTGGTGGAAGCCCTTGACAGCATGCTAGAACATAGCGATGTCCAGGCCGCATGTTTGCGGCAGGTGCATTGCTGTTTGCTGCCAGCACTCACAGCACTTTCCCACAGACGATTCAACTTAAGAGATCACCCCCGAGCTTTACAGCGGCAGTCAAGCCTGGGACGCTTCTTTACAAAGCTTGTCCTGGAAGAAATACACACTGGTCAGGACATGTGGGCCAGCAGTTCTGAAGGCACGTGGAAGGCAGATGCCCGGCTGCGAAATTTCAGAGCACTCTTGGGCCTTCGGATGGTCGGGCGCGATCCAGCTGCCAAGAGTTTGGTGGCCTGCTGCTCTGGAGTCATCACATCTGGGCTCGCGGCACCAACCGAGATCAGCTGCCGTTGGCGTCTACACGGCAGGTCGGACCTCGAGGTTTTGGCACATAGTCTTGCGGACGAAGTCGTGACGGCAGTGTACGTGGACCATGACAGACGACCTCATTGTGAACGTCAAGCCTTGGTTGGGCAAATGCAACATCTTCTCGCAGCGAAGGGGACGCCAAAAAATCGGTCTGCGGGCAAGTGGATGCCATGTTGCCGGTGATTACACGCAGCCCTGCAATGATAAATGCATTGTCACACCACGTCGCAACATCCAGGCTGGAGGCTATCGAAGAAGGTTATCCTGCAGATATCCCCCTCGCCGCCTCCTCATTGTTATCTGTTGAAGAATGAGCCTTCAGCCAAACAGAGCTTCTACATGAGCTCTTTTTTGAACCTTTCCAGGTTGTCATCCTGGGCCTTAGCAATCCCGAAATTTCGCCAACCCGGGTGAATAATGCCGGGGCCTCAGATCTCCTTGCGTGGGGCTCACCGTCGGCCTGCATCTCGTCATTCCGAGCATGAGTATCCAAGATCTGGACGTTCGAAGCCTTCAGCTTGTCAACTGGGGAAGAACAGTTGCCGGGGGCCCAAGTAGCAGGATCCAACCCAGCAGAGAAGATGTGACAATTCCAGCTTTCAGCTCCTCAGGCTGAACGTCAATTTGAATGTAACGGGCTTCAAGATCTTCGGAGAATTTTCTGGAGCATACGTCACGGGCACGGTGCTTTCGCCGCTGGCAACTAACGTGGCTGGGGCCCGAGGGTGCGCAAGGTGCGCAAGCCAGAGCCGGGTGCAGCTGGCGCTTTCGTGCGTTGAAGCTTTTTCAAGGTTGGCATCTGGCTCAACCTGAAGAGCCCTTTGAGAGCCAGCTTGGACACTGGACAGTCAAGCCCTTGGCTTTTTCAGAATTGGACCTGTGGTGTCAAGTCCTGTCGGCTGAGGACGAGCCAGATGAGGCTTTGGTTGCCACCCACTTTCCAACCACTTCCGGACCTCTGCCTTCCTGTGCTGTGCGGCTTGCAGTCAGACTGTCAGCAGAGGACTGCGGGAACGCGCTGTTCTCCCTGTCTTATGACGTGGGCCGCGAATTGGTGAAGAACCCTTTCCCCATCACTGCTGCGAGCTCAGCGCGGTGGTGATACTGAGCCCAGCTTGTTCGCAGGAATGAGTTGAAGAATACTTCTTGTGTCCACGGGATACCATCGTCCTGTACGCCTAAGTCGCTCACCAGCTCATGCTGGTCCTATCTAGTTGCAGGTGAGCTAAATGACCTTCTGGAAGCTTCAGCCCTGGCCAGGCTCCACCACCAACCGATGCACAGATTTAGACTACTGCCCAGCACGTACTCAAGCAAGCTGCTCGAACCCAGCGGATGGAGGAAGAGGACATCGATGTAGGCTACATATTGCACAAAGTGCAGGTACTGGTACCAGTGGGGTAACTCTTCGATTCTGAGACAAGCTCTGAAGCCACCATGTAAGTCCGTTGCCTCGCACACCCCCTTTAGCAGTGATGCCGTGTTGCTTGTGCCACCAAGATCTCCTACCTGTCGCTGCCCTCTGGGACATATTGCTTTGACCGTTACGATGAAATAAGTGGTCAGCGTGGGACTCAGACTTGTAGAACTTCTTTGTCTTTCATTGAGAAGCCGAAGTTAAGCATGCGTCAGTGACACACAAGGCCCCACATAGCACTGCTGCAGTGGTTCTTTGATGTATGCGTGCATGCATGCCTCCACTGCACGGCATGCCGTGGCACGAGGGTGGCGACGCGTTGTCAAATAGGCTTTCGGGTCTCCTATTCCAGATTTGGTTTGAGAGGAGCTGTGCGATTTCTTGCTGTTTCCACTTGTGTCACCTGGGAAAGAAACGGTCTCTCAGGTGCGTGACAGAGTTTGTCTTGTGCGACTGCGTGTCGTATTGCGAAAGTTCTGCGGCCAGCAGACACAACCGGGGTGGTGAAGTTATGACGTTTGCTGTTCGGTGTTTTTTGTGGTTTGCATTGTAGCACTCAGCAGGAAATCTACATACTCGAAAGGCGTGCTACCTGACTGAGCTGGTGCGTCTCGGTTTCAGCGGTTGTTGTGCGAAACGGCGTTGCAGACCATGCATGCGATGTATCCTTGTAGCTGGGGCCACTGGTTCGTTGGCAGAGATGGCACTAGCGGCTTTCTGTCTCAGGAGATCGCATCACGCCTTGAACTACTGGGGATTTTTGCGAGCACTTGTTGACCTTTGGCCGTCTGCCAACATCTGCCAACTGGGTCCCAGAGCCTTCCGCCCTTGTGACTCAACAGCCTTACTCACCCCACTGCACTTGGCAACTCAAGCCCGAATCCCAAATCGTGCAAACAGGAACCAGGCTGGAGGCAACAGAAGACCTCCAACCGGCATGTCCCAAGCAAGCCAAAAAAGACGACAAGCAAACACAACGCATCAACAGAGCCGGGTGCCCTTCAATCCGCTGTGGGGCAGACGGCACGACCTCGCAACCACGCGAACTACTGCGTTTCGCGCAAGGATTTTAATCCGAACCGGCATGTCGCTGCATCTGGGAAGTACGCCTGCCATTGCGGTGCAGCCTGAGGTGGTATGTCGAGCTCACTATTGAGCAGGAAGTTTCATATGGGCTCGACTACGCTTTCGAGTTCGGCTTGACGAACCCGTTCCGCACACCAGCTACTGCCGATAATGCTTGGCACCGAGCTGCATGGACATCATGCATGCAACAACTTCGCGCAGTTCAGTTCCACACAGAGCATGAGCAGTGCGGTGACAAGTTGAGAGGTGTGGCGCTTCGAAACCCTCCAGAATGATGTGATTCTTCACCTACGGTGCCCGGCATTACTCCCATACTCCCATGTGCCAAAGCATAAAGGGGTGGCCAGCCACCGTGCCAGGCGAAGTGTGCCAGGATTCGAGCTGGAGCAGATCAAGGCCCTCAGAAGTGCTTGGCCAACACCCCGCCCGTGCTTCGCCTAGCTGTGTGTCCATGAATTTGAGGACGTCAGGGTAACCCCGTCTGATACGACTACATTGCTGCCGCTGCACCGGCTAGAGTTCTGAGCTTAGCCTGTGACTACATGCTTTGGAAGTAGCTTCCTCATCGGGCTGGACGGTAGCAGATGAACCACCACTCACTGCAGGTGTTTATTCCGCTCAGGTTCTACATCATGAGCGACAAGTACATTCCTGGAGGTTCCAAGATCGAGATCACGGCTCCCCACGGCACATGGCTTAGCCCGGCTGGCGGAAGTTCTCACGGAGCAATTGCACTGAACAGTCAGCCAGAGGCTTTGGTTTCACTTGCGCCTTCTTCAGCACAGATGCCGGGCTGGCCATCACAACTACATGCTATGCCTCTCGGGATCCAATATGGCAAGTCTCATACAGCTCGACGAGCAGCTGACCTCCACATCCTCCACACCGTGCACTTAGGTTCGAATGCCGAACATCGCAGAGTTCACTATGGACACCTCAGATCCCAAGCAGCCCAACTCGCCTTTCCGGCTGTTCGTCTATGCGTGACAGGCTCAGCTGTTGAGAGATGTTGAGAGTTGGGGCGGTCAACTGTTTGGTTTGTTTGTCGGTGCAGGTCACGGCAGAAACTGTGTCCACCCTAAGCCTGAAGCACCTCTGCATCTGCACGTGCGCAGAGCGACGAGGAGCGACCACTCCGCACTTCCATCCTTTGGAAGACGAAAACAGATAGAGAAAGGAAGTGGACATAGATCCCGAAGAGGATGACCGGCCAAACACGAAGCGCTCGTCAGCCCACTTGAAAATGTCTCTCGACGCGCCGCCCACAGGCAGCTCGAAGACCTTGCTCAGAAAGACGCGGTTCCCAAGACCTGCTTTTCACGGAGCATCCTCCCAGTCTGACTGTAGCAGACAGAGTATACGAGTACATGCGAAAGCAAGATTGGCAGTGGTCTAAATATCCGCAGCCAGCCTTGTCATCTGCTCTCATGGTTCAACAAACTGAGCAAGAGGTCGGAGTCCTTGGACAGATGTTAAATGGCCCGTAGCCCACGCTGTACCGCAGATCACGGCTTCTGGCGTTTATCTGAATGTTTTTTGTCTGCTAGGCCTGACGCGCGCGCGCGCGTGTGTGTGTGTGTGTAAACGCCT